AAAATTAACTATTCTCCACAGGCACAATGAAAGGAAACTAAAAGATAATCTCAAAGGCGAAGGTTTCAGATCTAGTGCTGCTGAGTGATCAATGAAGCACAAGCTACACAGACTAGATCTGAAATTTACATGTTTCGAGTAACTGAAATGCACACAGGCCAAACCTGGGTTCTCAGAATTCTTCACAGCAGAGAAATGAAAAATCCAATGTATACTATTTGAAATGGTCTCCAAGACTTGTCCTTCAAGAAGTGCTCAAAGAAGTGTCATAATAATTATTTTTAACAGGAAATCTAATCACAGTCTCCTACATTAAGCCCAATTCACTCCTCAAACTTCAGCATGTTTGCTTTTCATCATGCATTTAGAATTGTATGAAAATTCAATTATTGATTCCCAAATCAATATCTATATATTTTAAATGAGTTATTACTTGAGAAAAATGACAGTAACTGAAGTTCATTTCCTCAGTGCTACATATAGTTTAAGATCAAATGTTAAATGTTTTTGCTTCCCTTCCCCTGCATACCCCTAGAATCTTACAAGTCTTTTTTTTTCTTATACGAAAGTGTTCTGTTGTTTTAGATCCAGACATCACAGAAATCTGTAGCTAACAACCAAATGAAATTTAATACTCTAAGTCCACTGAATTATACTTATAGGATAGCTCAACAGTTTAGGTATCTGGGCCGGGGGATGGGAGTTTGATTTCCCACACAGTGAACCATAGGGTCCCTTCCAGCTCTGCAGTTCTAAGATTATGATGATGATATCTGAGTAGGAATAAAATAATTGATCCTCTGCAAATTCCCCGAAAGTGCACTCTTGAAACCAGCTGGTTTTACCCTCTCAAATGAAACTTTACTTTGAGTTATATATGTTTTCAATCAGAATACAGATCCGGGTACACAACAGAATTAAGCTAATATGTTAACAGAAACAGTGAAGCATAGGGTCCCTTCTGGCTCTGCAGTTCTAAGATTATGATTATGATATCTGAGTAGAAATAAAATAATTGATCCTCTGCAAATTCCCCGAAAGTGCACTTTTGAAACCAGCTGGTTTTACCCTCTCAAATGAAACTTTACTTTGAGTTATATATGTTTTCAATCACAATACAGATCAGGGTACACAACAGAATTAAGCTAATATGTTAACAGAATCATTTTAGATTTACACTTCCAGTAGTGGGCTGGACTCACTGAGAATTTAAACCATACCATTCATTTCACCTTCTCTATAACAGGTCACTTTGGTACAGACAATAAAAATTTCCACATTATCTAATCTGAATGTCAAGCTGGGGGAGGGGGAAATAAAAAAACTGACTTAATAAGAACTGGCCTTGTGCATATCAAGATGCTATTTCTCACATTCAATCAGCATAACCGCCTTATGAAATACTGACTTTTTTGAGAAGACAACCACATATGGCATTGAGTGGTCATAATTGCAGAGCCCTGACAATTATACGTACATATACAAAGCCATCTTGTATTCAAAGCCAAACTAGATGTTACATGCTATGGCTATAAGCAGATCTTGCCAAGTAATTTTCTATGTCAGTGGTTCTTAACCTTTTTGAAAGAAACGCCCCCTTGAGCCATTGAGGAAGTTATCATCGCCTCCCCTCCCTGAGGTGATATCTTACCTACCTACCTACCTACCTACCTACCTACCTACCTACCTACCTACCTACCTACCTACCTACCTACCTACCTACCTACCTACCTACCTACCTACCTACCTACCTACCTACCTACCTACCTACCTACCTACCTACCTACCTACCTACCTACCTACCTACCTACCTACCTACCTACCGGCCAGCACTGCGGCTGCAGTCACCTTCTCCAGTGCCCCCCTACCGCCCCCCTTCTGTTCTTTTGTCCCCATACCGCCCCTTTTCGTTCTACCGCCCCCCTGAAAAATGAAATCGCCCCCTGGGGAGCATTTTTGCCCACGTTAAGAAACACATATTATTAGAGGAAGAAGTGACAATTTTAACAGCAATCTCAGCTTCTTCTTAGAATATACTTGTACTTGTATAGCTTTTAAAATATTAGTTTATTTAATTGTTTGCATGTCTCTTTCGTATGCAGTGCTCATAGTGACAGTCAATAGATTTGTCACTTAAAAATAAAACTTTCACATGAGGCCAATTTAAATGACCATACTTTTCCCCCCATTATTTTATAGCCTGATATGTGAGAATTTTCTTCTTTTGCTTTTGCTGACAGGTGAAGGTCATGGTGCGCATTTGCTCCACGTTGGCCAGGGACTCCTCTGAATCCAGCTCCTTCTTAAAGGTTGATCCTCGCAAGAAGCAAATAACCTTATATGACCCCTTGTCTTGTGGAGGTCAGAATGCTTTCCAAAAAAGAAGCAGTCAAGTGCCACCCAAGATGTTTGCCTTTGATGCTGTTTTCCCTCAGGATGCCTCTCAGGTATGTTGTGAGCAGCTGCATAACTTTTTTAGGAATTGTCATACCATTATTCACAATATTGTTTTGATATTGTGATTATATGAGAGCTAGCATGCTATGGTGGATAGAGTGATGGACTCCAGGAGGCCTGGGTTCAAATCTCTGCTTGGCTTCAGAAACTCATGAGGGAGGGGGGTCAGCAATGGTAAAACCACTCCTTAAATAGACCTTGAAAATCCTATTATGGTTGTCATAAATCATACGCAATTTGACAGTATATAATTATATGAGTGGGGGATTTGTTTCTTTTGTGGAAGTATCACTAGCTTCCTGTTTTCTAGAGAGGATTGCATTTATATTTAATAATAAAGAAATAATTTTCACTTTATGACAGGCTGAAGTATGTGCAGGAACCGTAGCTGAAGTGATCCAGTCTGTGGTGAATGGTGCAGATGGATGTGTATTTTGCTTTGGCCATGCCAAACTAGGTTTGTATGTTTCATCTTCAAACAGTAATGTACAAGAAGTTAATCCCAGGAGTAGAGAACTTCTTTGGGATAGAAATAGTTTGATGTGTCAGGAAAGGTGGTATCCACTTCTGCAGTATGACCACTCCTCGCTTTGTTTCCCCCATGAATCTACTGCAGAAGTTTACCCAGAGCAGATTTGAGGGGACATGTGAGGGCACTGCATCAAGGAGGGTAAATCCAGCTTACCAGCTGTTTCTGTTTCAGTGAAAGATGTCCAACATTCAGCACAACTCAATGCACATAACATGTATATTCATTCATTCATCTCTCAGTTGCCCCAGGTTCCTGTTGGGACTCAATGCATACAGAACTGGAGGTTGTGTGAGTGGCTCTAAGTTCTTCTCATTGGTGCAAAGAGACATTCCGGTTCTTGTGCAAGTGGTTCTTGGCAGATGCAAAATGGCTAAGAGGCATAATTTCTAGCTGCCTATTGGCCTAATAGCAAGGCACCAATCAAGTGCCTGTGCAGCGCCGCCTCCCTCATGAATGGCTACCAAATGCAGCCACATAGGTTGGAAATCTCCTCCTTCGCAACAGTGCAGTCAGATGCAGTTATCACTCTGCCACCGTCAAACAAAACCTAGGCCTTTGAGTTTTCACATTTTGAACATGTCATCTTTTTCCAATTTCATTGGTTCTTGGACAGCTTATTTTATCCCCAGTATTATTTGAACTCGGGATTATTGTTGTTCTTTTTTTAATAGACTCTTTTTATGTACCAATTAATGTTCCACGATATATAATTAAAATGTATGTATAATTAAAAATTGTAAACCGCCCGGTCCCAGTATTATTTGAATTCAGGATTATTGTTGTTATTTTTTTTAATAGACTCTGTTTATGTACCGATTAATGTTCCACGATATATGTCATGGTTATAACACTTTTCGTGGTTATTAACACTTTATAGTTGGAGGTGCGCTTTATCACATCTAGTTTAACAAATTGGATTCTCAGTGACAAAAATAAAACAAATGTAGCTGGTGGAATCCTCAGCCAGCAACAAAAATAGGAGGATTTGTATGTTGTTATTTAGCAGCATGAAGCTGCTTTCATTAAGCATGCATATATAGTGTTCTTTTCTTTACAACTGCAGTTGTTTTATCTTCCTTTTCTCTACTTCGCACAGGAAAGTCCTACAGTATGATTGGAAAAGATGACTCAATGCAGAACCTCGGCATAATCCCCTGTGCCATCTCTTGGCTTTTCAAGCTGATTAATGAGCGGAAAGAGAAGACAGGAGCCCGGTTCTCTGTCCGCATCTCAGCAGTAGAAGTGTGGGGGAAAGAAGAAAACCTGAGGGACTTGCTGTCAGAAGTGGCAACAGGCAGCCTACAAGATGGCCAGTCTCCAGGTGTCTACCTTTGTGAGGACCCGATCTGTGGGATGCAGGTGAATATAGTTCTTTCAAGTCACAATATATACTGTTGGATGCCATGTTTTTACTAGGGTGGTTTCAAATAATAAATTGCCCCAAACATAAACTTTTCTAACTTGGAAGTGTTTACTCTCAGGCACACAAAGAATTTTATGACCTGCAGCTGCAGGCCCATCTGCTCTCCTGGCCTAAATATTTGTGCCTTTGGCATTAGTTGATGTTGAGCAGGGACCTCTGTTTGTTATAAAATGTGAAAGGATTCAGATCAAACAAAATTTGTCTCCGTCCAGTAATAATTTCTCCAATGTATAACAACACACTAAAATATTTACAATATTGCACAAATAGCTGGAGGTGAATAATATGTTTGTTTATATCTGCACAAACTACATTATTTATAGTAGCAGGATTAGTAACACTGTAGGAAGTATTAATAGCTATTTATTAATTGCAAGCAAACTGTGGATTTTAAGTTCAGGCTGAGCCAAGAATTGTTGTGTTATTCAGACAGAAGCAATCAACTGGGTTTAAAAAACAAAACAAAAAACAGCATCCTGTCCAAGCTGAAAGATACACATGTTGCAGTAAGCTTGTGACCCTCCCCTCTTCCACCATTATTGCTAAATCTAATCATTTAGGCATCTTGCTGAGGTGCTAATAGACAAAATGTTTGTACAAAATGTTGTGGGACCATGACCTTATGGTATGGGATTTTCCTTTCTTCCAGCATTAATGTGTGTGGAAAGACTTCTGGAGGAAGAAAGGGGGGGAAAGTAACATGAAATTAAGTTTGGAGAACAAAGAACTAAAGGGGTGCAGATCTGTGCTTGTAGGACTTCAATTCCCAGAGTTCCCCCAGTTGCCTGCGGTCCAAAAGCACAGGTTGTACACCTTACTCTGCATTCAGGGTTTCAGTGATTTCCTCAGATTCTTCAAAAGACCATGACTCCCCTTTTTGCACCAGATCATACTACTACCTCTCAGCCTTTGGTTTACTGACAGGCAATTTGTGACTTTGTAGCATTCTGTGAAAAATGCCAAATGTCACTGGACTAGGGAATGAGTAAGAATTCTGGTAATAAAGACCAGAGGGTCATTTGTCACTATCAAGTGACAAAACAAGAACATAAATGTAGATGTGATTCTGAACAGATATCTAGTTCCCGAGTTTCCCTCTGTAACACTGAATAGTGTCCTGATTAGAGGTGGGCGTATTAAATAGTGAAAACAACGACTCAGCAGCTATGCAGGGAGACTTGTCCTCCCTCCCACTGGCTGGAGTGGCCAGGCGAGCAGGAGGAGAGCAGCGCTCCGGGAGCAATTGGAAGGATGATCAAGGCTGCCGCCGACCCCTTGTTAAGTCCAGCTGCACAGGGATATTCATATATGAATACAAATACCCCCATCTCTAGTCCTGATACCATAACGTTCTGTGCTTCTGTTTCTTAGAACTGGCAAAAAATAATATGGGAGAGGGACATGGAGGCACAGAATGTATCAGTGTGTTTATTTATTAGTTACATTTGTTTCCTGCCTTTCCTCTGGGCATGTACCTGGCTCTCACCCTCCCTGTTTTCTCCTTACAGGGTAGATCAGACTAAGAGTGTGTCACTGGCCCAAGGCCATCCAATGAGTTTCATGACTCAGTGAGGACTAGAATCTGGATTTCCCAAATCTAAATTTCATTTTACTGCTTCCTAGCCTTTCTTGCTTTATAGTCCACCAGACACTGTCTTCAGAATTGAGCCCAACCAAGATAGAAATAAAAAGTCCACCATTTCTTGAGAAGGACATTTGCAATTTTATAGGCATTCTGTTATTTATTATATTTATCATTGATAACAGACTGGCCTATTCAATTATGGGAAACGGTAGGTAAAGTAACACTGATCTCTAGCATGCCAAAAGGTCATGCATAGATAATCTGTCAGATAGCATCTAGAAGAGATGGCATATCTCTCTCTCAGGAGGATGTATGGATTGAGGGAAGTAAATGTTATGAAAACTCTTTTGTGATCTCTTAGATCTATTTTGTGTCTTACCAATGGTATGGTTGCCTCTAGAATAATTGTACCAGACATTAAGTATAGGAAAGGAGAAACTGTATCTGGAGTCTTCAGTTTCACGTCTAATTTGGCCTTGAGAGAGAGGACCCTCAAAGCAACTGCTAAGGTCAGGTAGTATGTAACTTGGTCCATAACAAGACATCCACTTTCCCACCATAAGTTGGCTGGAAAGAGCAAGAAAGTGTAGAGGAGAGGTTGCTTGATAAGAATGTTATTGGTAAAATGAAGAATTGGAACTGGCTGGAAATGAAAAATATGGAAACATGTAGTGAGTGGGAGTGGGGGCAAGAATGCTTGGCATAATTGGTCTGGGAGAAAACACCTTGCTTTTCAAAATGTGAAGGCATTTCAGTATGAGAATTCCAGTTTGCCACATATACTCTGCAAACAGGATTGTTCTCTGCTCCAAAGTATTTTGCATTTTGGTTTTGCTAATAGAAAGTTTCTTACCAGTGTTGATCTCAGTAAGCACATATTATGTGCTTTCCATCCCTTGTGTTTGCAGCTTCAGAATCAAAGTGAACTCCGAGCTCCCACTGCAGAGAAAGCTGCCTTCTTCCTTGATGCAGCCATTGCCTCACGCCGAAGCAGCCAACAAGATTGCCGGGAGGAAGATCATAAGAATTCTCACATGCTCTTCACATTGCACATCTATCAGTACCGAATGGAAAAAAGTGGCAAAGGGGGAAGTAAGTTGCATTGTTTTTGTACTAGTTTACTGTTGTTTAAATTACGCTTATGCACTTCTATGGAACTGATGAAAATGTACCAGAAAGTAACATGTGCTAAAGACTTTATTATATCATGAGCCATTCCTGAAATGTGAGTGTACATGGTTAAATCTAGATTTGGAGGATCTATTGGTATGGTGATGTTAAGAAATCCAGTTCAAGATTAACCAGAAATGAATTATTGTTATGCTTACCTATAAAATTCTGTTCATGTTTGCTTTGGATTCAACTGTAGCAGATTACTGGAAGGAGATACTGCAACTTGTTATCTGACATGGTTAAGTTGAGTTGCAGTTTTGCAAGTGACAGAAGAAACCAAAGGGATCACCATGTCCTAAAAATTCCAAGATCTACCTTTACTCTCAATCTAAGCAGTTCTTCAGAGAGAACAGAGTGACTTTCTTGCCCCTTGTTCCAGCCCTAATCACATTTTCATTAGTTGTGATTTGTTGCCTAGATTCCAGATACGGCACAGCAGTATTGAACTAAAAGGGCCATCATGGATTGCTGTTTCTAGTATGAATAAGACATGGTCATTAATTCATTGCAGACATCTTGATGTAGTCAGTGCCTGAATAACAGCAAACAGATTGGGGTTCAACCTGCACTGTACTCTTCTGGAGATGCTGCAGCCCAATCATTATTTGTGTCCATGTTGGTATTTGTGTGGTTTCAGATCTCTGTGGAAAACAACAAGAAGAACATTCCTATGAATTGGAACTCGCAGTGGTTATTGCTTTCAGTCAGGGTTAGAGAGTACATAGCAGAATTATTTGTGGTAGAATTATTTGCCCACCTCCAGCCCAAAGAACACACATATACAAAACAAAAAGCAGGAGACATCTATTGTGAAGTTTGGCAATGACACCACAGCATGAAGAAGAAAGGAGAAGGCAAAGCAGGGTTGGGGTGACAGACCCTAACACTCTGAAGTGAAATTCTAGCTTGACCACAGGATTCCAGGCATTTTCCTGTACACACATAAACGTTCTAGTGGGATAACTCCAAAATGTTTTTAAAATAACCGGGGAAATTATTTATTTTATTTATTTAAAATATTTTTACTCCACTCTTCTCCTCAAAAAAAAGGTCCCAAGGTGGCTTACATCCTTGAAATGCAATATTCAATGCTGAAAACAAAGAGTTTACAATGGTGGTTTACATCATTAAAGCTAATAACAATGACTATAAAAATGCAGCTTATATTGTCAAAAGCCAATATTAAAGGTAAAAAAATAAGTATGCAAATACTAAAAAGGAAAAAATCCATTCTGAGAGGTGGTATGTACAAGTAGTACTAAAGACCCAATCAGGGCAGTATGCTCCACTGAATGAAAGTCTCTCAGTTTGTGCTGGAGCCAAAGAAAAATTGCAAAATATTGTTAGTAGCTGCTATAGCTTGATGGGTTTATGACCTCCTTCAGAGACCCTGTCCAGTGCCTCAGCAATTGGAGTTTGTGGCAAGGTTTTGTGCTTCACTGTGGAGTGAAACTGTCAGTCTCTTCCTCCTTTGGCACCAGCTTGTCCTCCTTAAGGTATTGATTCTTTCAGTTCCTTTCCCTTTGTTTTTAACTGAACACACAAAATCATAGAAAAGTGAAGTTGGAAGGGGCCTACAATGCCATCAAGTCCAACCCCCTGCTCAATGCAAGAATACATATTTTTAATTGTAACGTTATTAGCTCCACACATGCTGGCTTTAGCATGAAAGGTTTGTGGAGGGCGCTGATTGTGCCCTTTGAGTACCCTTTGACTCTTCTTAGTCCATCCTGCATTTGCCTCATGTTTGGTTCATATTTTCACATTTGTCCAAAATTTAATGACTGTAATAAAATCTTCTCTCTTATCCTTAAGAATTCATTTTCCTTTACTTAAAAGGATGGAATTATCCACTGCAGACTTTCTTTTTTGCTGAATAATGAAATTATGCTGCCTCATGGTTCAGATTTTTACAGTGCTTATTCTGCCAGGCTAAATTGACTGCTTTAATGTAGATTCGGAATAAGGCCTTAGACGATGTTGCAATGTCCAAGGAGAATTTTGTTGGTGAAGTTATCTGGAATACATACAGTTCAGAGTATTCCACACTACCTGGTGTATATAATATCACCACTTATCAAACAATGAACTTGTGATGTCAAACATTTACACATTGGCTGAAATCATGTTGCTTAGTATAGTAAGTTGTAACTCGAGTAGGCCCACTGAATCAGTGGGGATTTGGTAAGTCAAACCCTCCATAAGTTCAATTGATTCCACTGGCTAGCTCTAGTTGTGATTTACTATGCTAAGGAACAGGATTTTAGCCATTGTGTGTACAGTTGCATAAGTATAAAATCTACTGTATAAGCATGAATCCAATCAGCAGTCCCGCCTAGAGTACACTAACTGAATCAGTGTGATTTATGTAAGTGTTACATTCCCATTTAGCCACTGACTGAGTGGGTTTACGCTAATTGGGACCAGCAGTTGAGTTTAGACCACCAAACAGTTTATGCACAAAGGGTTGAATTCAGGATCTGCCTCCCACTCTGCTCATGAAAGGTACCTCTATTTGATTTTCCAGGAAAATGCCTAAATCCGGCTCCAGCTTGTCTTTATATCCATTACAGTCCAAGCATCTTGTAAAATGACAGTTTTGTTTGCTTGTCTTTCATTAATAACCCTTACTGAATTGCCAGACAAAACTCAATTAACAAAGGTTTTAGTAATTAACTACACTTCAGTGGAAAGGAAGACTGGGAATGCCCAGACTAACTTTCTATTAGAAATTAGAATAGCTTGCTTCAAGGAGATTACCATTGAACTCATGTAATTATTTGTTTTTACACTCATACGTATCTTTGTAATTACTTTCTAATGCAGGTAAATAGAGAAATGCTATAGTTTTTCAAGTCAGTTTTGACAAATTATACAACAACAAATCAAAATCCCACAGGTTTTGGTTTCATTCACATTCCGCTTCTAGGTGACCTACTGAGCTCATTAAACCCAATATTTTTACTTTTAAAATTGCAAAGAAAAATAAACAGATTACATTGGTGGCTGTCCAAAAGTAATCACATTCCTCCTCCCGCCATTTCCATTGCTTCAGGTAAAATGTTCACTTAATTTAGACTTCTGGGAGACACACTATACCCTAGGAAATGTTTTATTTAGAGCAGAAGTAAAGGACCCTTGGCCCTCTGGTTGTTCTATTATGTGGGGATTTCTGGACTTTTAATTCCAAAAGGTCCCAGCCAGCTTGATCAATGGGAAGGGACTTTAGGATTTGTTGCCCCAAACATCTGTGAGATTAAGGGGTCCACTGAATTAGCTAACTAACTTTGCCTAATGGTATGGTCAACTCTACCCAGACCATGTTTTTTCACAGATTTGTATCGTAGTCCTGTGGTATTTAAGACTCTTGTCACAAAAACCACAGGCAACACTATGAGTCAGGTGACAAAGCCATTGCCTCAAATAGATGTGAGTCTACTCAGCCTACTCAAGGGGGAATGCAACATGGAAATCCCTGCCTCCATGGAAATCCCTGAGGCCTTTATCTCTCCGCCATCAGAACTGTGGTAGTGGAAGATGAGGAAGAGCGAGGCACGGTATAAGGTGAAGGCATTCCCTGGTCAGGCTGCCAAGGGAAGGGAACATTTAGAGCTTCCTGGAGTTAGTTGAAATGATTTCCTCTTATTGCTTCCTGTGGGAGGGAAGTAGTGAAAAACAAATAAAAAATAGAGGTGCCATCCTGCCTGCAGGAACCTGGCTGGGCTTTGGATACTGCAGAGGCTTCATGGTCAAGTACTTCTGACATAGAGACACACATTTTAAAGGTGGAAATTTGAAGTTTGCCAGTACAACTAACAAACCACTTCAGCTAATCCACAAATCATGTCTTTTCTATTCTAAGAACATTTCCGTATAACTTTATATTAACAGATACCATTTTGCAGTTGGGTCTCTGTGAACTAAATCCAGCTGCTAGTCTTTACTAGAGTTGAACCACTGAATCAATGAAACTTATATAAGTGTTGATTTACCCAAGTCTCAATAGTTTAATGGTCTGCACTAGTTGGGAGTAAGAAGTCAATTTAATTTCATGGGACAAACATCTGAAAGGTTAATGAATTGTATGTGGTGTTATGTATCATCAAATCGAAAATGATTTATAGTGACTCTAATGTGGCTTTCAAGGTAAGTGAGGTTTTTAAGAAGTGGTTTTACCAGTTTCACATCCCAGTGAGTTTCCATGGTTAAGCAGGGTTTGAATCTTGGTATCTAGAGTCCTAGTCCATCACTCTTTCCCATCATTTCCCATAATTTGGCCAGCTGTTTTAGAAACACTCTCTTAGCTAATATTCTGTAATCTGTAACCTCCAAGGGAAGAAAGCCAGTGTATTAAAGCTGTAAAGTCGTGCCCTGCTTTACGATTACCCCGTTTAACAATGAATCCGCTTGACGGTGAGGTTTTTGCGATCACTTTTGCGATCACAAAACAATGTTTTGAATGGGGTGTTTCCACTGCGTTATGATCGGTTCTGCTTCAGGAACCGATTTTTGCTTTACGACGATCAAAAACAGCTGATCGTCAGGTTTCAAAATGGCCACTGGGTGTACAAAATGGCCCCCCGCTGTGCTTAAGGACAGATTCCTCGCTGCACAGGCACTGAAAATGGCCACCCCTTTGGAGGATCTTCGTTGGACAGTGAGTTTTCAGCCAATTGCGACGCATTGAACGGTTTTCAATGCATTTCAATTGGCTTTTTTTTTGCTTTACGACGTATTCGTTCTACAGTGATTTCACTGGAACGAATTAACGTCATCAAGCGAGGAACCACTGTACTATGAAGAAAGCGGCAAAGGTGTTTTTAAAAGGTTATACAGTGGTGCCTCGCACAACGGGTGCCTCGTAGAGCGATGAATTCGCTCTGCGAGGCTGGTTTTGCGATCGCAAATGCGATCGCAAAACGGTGCCCGCATAGGGCGAAAATCGCAGAGCGAAGGTCGGTAAGTGGTTCGCTTACCGACCTTCGCTTTGCGACCTGCCGATCAGCTGTTCGGCGGCTACAAAATGGCCGCCGGAAGCCCCAAAATGGCCGCGCACAGCGTTTTCACGCCCTCATTAAGCGAGGGGAGGGCGCGAAAATGGCTGCCGGCCATAGGGAAGCATCGCTGAACGGTGAGTATTCGGCCCAATTGGAACGCATTAAACCATGTTTAATGCGTTCCAATGGCTTTTCCTGCCCCGTTCAACGATGCTTTCACACAGCGAGGGTTAATCCGGAACGGATTAACCTCGCTGTGCGATGCACCACTGTATATTAATCCATACATCCATCAAGATGTTTTGAGATGAAGAATGTGCCTCTCCATAATATATACAGTACAGGCTTATTCAAAATAATTTTCTTTGAGACTCTCTGTCACCGGCTGTTGAATTGCAGCCTGTAAACATAATATGTAGTATATTTTTGTAATTGTTGGTATAGTTATCCATGAATATTTATTTTACCCCTTAATATAAATCTCTGAATACTTCTAAAATGTTTTGTTAATACAAATGGTTCACAACTAATGTATATCATCTCTGCATCCAAGACTGGCATTTACAATGTTATAATTCCTTGTATTCTACCTTGTTTACATCCTGAGACACTGTTACATTTGTTTACATTTGTTTATACGTTTCTTCTCACTTCTAAAAATACTTTATCAAATACTTAGAAAACAAACATTTTAGAATGGATGAATCCTCGTTAATTCTCATTTGTCAGGTGGCTGTTAGTAGCTGAATCAAAGTGCCATCTGGAATAGACCCAGTGAATGCACATCACTTGTTAAGTCAACACTGGTATAAATTGCATTGATTCAACAGATCTACTCTTGTTTGGATTAACACTTGGAAAAGGCTGTAGGTTTTAAGTCTTCCAGGGAGTTTGTCATACATGCATTTTTAAAATTGACCTAAAATTCTGACAAAGATGTTCAGAGAAGTAATAGCAGAGGTGTGAATACTATATGACAGGCACTTAAAAATAGCTGAGAACTGACTGTACTACAAAGGTAAATATTTAGTGGTTAGAATTATTGATGAGAAATGCTGGAGATGAATAAACAGGGCTGTCTTTCTTTGTTAATACAAAGTCTAATTAGAATTACGTTTTTTTACGGTGACCATTCAGCAGATCACAAAGAGCATTAACCTTAATTTTGGTACAAGACCATACATATCTACTCAAAAGTAAGTCTCACTAAGTTCCATAGTACTTACTTTCAGAAAATGACATGGGATCAAAGCGTCCTCCCCTCCCCCCACACCACACTTTGGAATGACAGTTATTTTTAAAGATAACTCTTACTTGGTCTCCCCTTTTTCTTTCATGGTAGTGTCCGGAGGCCGTAGCCGCTTACACCTTATTGACTTGGGTAGCTGTGTTAAACCCCTCAGCAAAAATCGTGAAGGAGGTTCCGGACTCTGCCTCTCATTGTCTGCATTGGGCAATGTCATCCTTGCCCTAGTCAATGGCAGCAAGCACATTCCATACAAGTAAGTGATTTTGCCTATATTTGTAAAGGTGGTGGTTGGTGACAGGTAAACCAAAGCTGTCTGGTTTGTACTGGAGCAACACATGAAAGCTGCAGGGCTAATAAATGGAAGATCATGCACCAGATCCAGTTCTTTTAAGGAACGGAGAGGCAAATGGTCCACGGGTAGCAATATGACAGAATCGGATTGCTTAGTATACGATGGCTATCTGAAGTAGTAGTTAATTTCTGAACCTTGTTTTTCCAGTGTTGAGAAGGATGGCACGGACCAGAACCACGTGCTAGCTTCCTTACAGCAAGAAGGAATTGCTTTTCTCAAGCAGTCAGTCTGAAATATGATATAAACATAAATGGAAGCAGGTGATTTTGCATGGGAATACTTATATGAGTGAAATCTGGAAGAGAGTTCACTGTCTTTTCTCAAGCAGTCGGTCTGAAATATGATATAAACATAAATGGAACAAATATCACTGACAAACGTAAATGAGCAACATAGATGTGTGAGGTGTTATGGGAATGATTTATTTTTTAAAGAGTTTGTCATTTTCATTTCTAGAATTGGATTTGCTTCCTCCTGTCTGTAAGACAGTTGTGTGGAATGTTTCAAATGTCTTCAGAGGCCACTTCTACAACTTTGGCACTTCATTGAAAAACAAAGTTTTGATGGGCCCATTTTGCCGGATGCAATTGATGAGCTCTAGTCTATGAAACATCATACCAGAGTAAATGGGTTAGGGTTCAAACTGCCACAGCGGCATTCTTTTTGCTAGAACAACTTAAACAAGCCACACCTTTAAAGCTTAAAAGTCTTTCCAGTGGCATTAATTCACTTAAAATCTGAGGGTGCTATTGAACATCATCACAATCAAGATGCAAAATGTTGTGTCATATTTGTTCTATCGATCCATGCGTATACTGAATGAAACCCAACATCTTCCTTCTGCTGACTGCTGCAAAGAAAGGGGGATGTGCCCTTCTGCCAGTCCAGTGATATTTGCCCACCTCTAACCCTAACTTGGGAGTCTGTACTACAGCAGTAAAGTTAGGGAGGGGAGAGCTCTACCTAATGCAGGGATGCGGATCCCCAGACCTTGGTGGGTTGCACCTCTCTTGTGGCTCCTATTCCCCAAAAATGTTTCTTACTAAAATTCTTACTAAACTGGGTGGTCATAGTAAAAAAAAAAATCTCATTGAGGGGTTGGGATACTTCAGGTGGGATCGTTTCATAATTACTTCCACACTCTCCACAGGATATGAGGAAATCTTCTGTTTTGGAGCATATGGCTCAAAGGGTACTGCGGCCCTGTGTGACATTTTGATTTCTGCAGGGAGCCAAGGACTTCATGTTGCCCATCTCCATTACAAAGAATATGATTGGCCCTTGTTTCCTTTATTTCCTGGCTCCTGTTATGTTGTGTGTTCCAGTCTGAGGGGATATATCGAGGGATGGAAGGAATACCCCCTCAGTTCCACCTTTCCATAGATTCAGGCTGTCTCAAAACAATGAAGCACCTCAAAGAGGAATTTTGAAGCTCTGCAAGGTTCTTCACCTCCTTCCAAGAGCTATTGCAAAGGACACACACACAGCAAGCATTAATTAATGCTTCAAATTCTCTAAAGCAACCATCATTCCTAGTTCAGAGCAAATTGTACAACTTGAGCAATTGCAAAAAAAATTTAAAGTGCAGTTTTCACAAGAATAGGCAGTTTTGTGCACCAGTAGCCAATGGACATTTTTGTGCAGAATACCATGTTTACCAATGCCAAAACTGTGTCACAAACACCAAGAAATTCCTTGCCATTTTTGCTTGCAAGGAGAAAATTGTTACAGTTTCTCATTCTTGCCTGCAAGGATGAGTGAAGGAAGGATTTGCAAGATCTTACCACAATTTTGCCAGAGTCACCCAGTGATGCCTCCCCAGATTCGAAATAGTGTTGATTTTGTGAATGATGTTGCTTTTCTAGTAAATACCAAAAAGAGAAAACAATGCAGAGGTTGGCAATAGTCAGGCGTCTTCTGCCTCGTGAACCTAAGCATCTGAGAAGAAGGAGAAGAGGTAGGATTTCCTGGAGGAGACACTCCACAAGACACAGTTGTAAAATGAAAAGGAAGAGCAGTCTCTTCCTCCCCCATGAGATATATGAATATTCATATACAGTAAGCAAGAGTGGATGTGTTATGATGCCCTGAAATATAGCCAGTCAATGGTTGCATAAACATACAGGCAGATATTATTGAAATTTGAGACTTCAGCTGTTTTGGAGGGTGCTTATATTTTAATTCCTACTTGAACCAAGCACATATTGAGGGAGAGAGGAAAGATTATGAAACTTAATGCAAATGCGGAGACCACAGTGAAACATGTGATGTTAATTTATGATATACTTTCACTTAAAGGAAAAACAAATTAAAGGAAAATAAATCTATTGCAAAGTGATACATCCCTTGGAGATACAGGCATCAGTATGAAAGCTAGTGCTAGTCTACATTGGCTATTCAAATTCATTCTTGGCCCCTTTACCGATCTACACAACATGCAAGAATGAATGAAGTCTCTGAATTAGTATGCTTACTTACAATTACTTATTTTTCCATGATTTTTGTGTTCCACCTTCAGCTCTCAGGTGCTCAGCATGATGAAGACCTGAACAGGCTTGAAAGCTAGCTTCTGTTGGTGATTTGTTTAGTGGTCTTTAAAAAAATGATCACCCAGTCTTGCCGTTGAATTATGTACGAGGACTGCACTCCTTTTTTTTTCCTTTTTCTTGTATTGGAGGTTTAGTGGTTAAAGTGAACTCTCTTTTCTCCTGGAATCCCATCATGTTTCCCCCTGCCTTCCTATCTCCAAACACTCTGTTTACTGCAGTGATGCCCAAAAACTTTGTGGAAAAGAGAATTAGACAGATTCTTGGAGGAATGGCTATCAACTGCTGCTGTTCATAATGGTTGTTTATTACTTTCAGTGTTTAAAGGAGTGTCTTTCTGTGCCAGGTGCTGGTTAAATTAACCCTGCAGTGAGCTATTGTTGTTATGTGCTGCCAAGTCACTTCCGACTTATGTCAGGCTAATCAGCATTTTTAGGATGTTCAAGGAGTAGTTTACTATAGTCACCCACCAGTGAGTTTCCGTGGATGAACAGGGACTTCAACCCTTGTCTACTACACTGCACTGGCTCTCATGCAATGAGTAGACTCATTTAAATCAATAAGGTTTACATTGTCATGACAAACCTGTTGTTATATGCCATCAGGTTGCTTCTGATCCATGGCAACCCTTGCAGATGTCCACGGAGTGGTTTACTATGGCCACCTCCCAGTGTTTTTCCATTGCAAAGCAGAAATTGGAACCCCAGTATTATGAGTCTTCGGCTGATATTGTGTCCATACACCACAGTGGCTGTTAAGACAGACTTAATTCTCATTAATTTCATTAAAATTAACTTTGTTATCTGTATCTGCAACTGGGTTTTATTTGTTCTGTCTTCATTCTGGACTTTTCAGCATGGTTTAACTTCTGATTTTTATGTGTATGCTTCTTTTTCACGTTGTGTTTCCACCACTGAGAATGCACCATTTTGCTCACGTTATTCTTTGTGGGCTTCCCATAAGCATGTGATTGTGTTGGCCCATGTGGGTCTGATTCAGCACAGCTGTTACGTGTTACCCCACCAGACTTGAAGCAAGGTTGATAATAAATATAGGCTGGAGCCATGTCATTTGTGGCTGCCTCAATCTGAACAGCTGTGTCAGCCTTCTTTTTGGCATGGAATACTCAAGTTAAGCCTTCCGGGTGAGTTCTTATACAGTACCGGGTCCATAACTGAAGCCTCATAAATTTTCTTTTCTTATAGTAATCCTTCATACCCATCATACCGATGACCATCATGCAGTTTGGATTTAAGGAAGGGGCTCCTCCCTTTTTTATAGAGCCTTTATCCTCAGTTTATATGTGAATGTATTTTGTTCACATATGTGCATGTTCAAATGCAATAGCCACTGTTAAACTAGAGGGTAATCCTTCGGAAAGTGCTTCTGGACAGCTTCTATTTATTTAATTGGGACAGGGAGATATTCCTCTTCAGTTGTTCCCCAGGTCTGAAGGATTGTGGCTTAAGTTTTCTCAGGTTTGATCCCTGGCATGTCACAGTATGTGTGGGAAAGATGCCTTACTCCAATCTGAAAACAATGTGAACAATTCTCAGCTAAATATCCCAAATGTTTCCCTTAGTATAAGGCCCCTTCCTTACCGCTCGTGTTCCTACCATCAACCCATAGCATCTAAATCATAACTCAGTTTTAAAGTTTATAATGAATAATAGCTCATATTGAATTTCAAAGCTGTTTGTATCAGTTACACCACATAAGGCGAATGATGCCATTAGCCAGGACAATTTTTTTTAAAATTAAACATTTATTAATCCTGTCCCAAGGCACCCACAGCTCCCTTTTAATTCCTTTCATTGTCGGGAACTGTTAACTGCTGTGGAATGGAAGGACTGGAAATCACTGCCACTAATATGACTTTACTACCTCTGAAGATAACATCAGCAACGTTGTGCATCATAAGCTAACACAGACAAGATTTCAGCTACCATGTTTTTCTTTCACCCTTTGAGACATCTCAACATGATAAACTGAAGTTAAGTTTCCAATTTTTGTTTTGTCCACTTTATCAGTTTTGAACAAGGGTACCTGAGTAAATCCAATTCTTAGAATGGAGTTTGTGTTTCACCAGAAATATCATCATTAGAATGATCCTGGTTTTATTTTCCAATTTAACTGCTGGTTTGAATCTTGCTTCTAATTATGTTCTTCAATATAATCTAAAACATCATTGTCATGTCTGTATCCCTTCTTGTGATAGTCTGGACCCGGGAATAACTCAGACCAAAGAAAAAGAGAGGGAAGCCACTAGTTTTAACTCACAAAGTATTGCTGTTAGTGAACTCTAACAGCTGTGCATGTGTGTTGCTGTTGTTTTTTGGGGGGGGGCAATGCATG